GAATGCAGCGGGGGACCTTGTCCTTTCTAAATTAAGATCATTCCCATTGATGAATTCTTTTTCAAGGGCCTCTGTTTCGGGGGTAGGGATAAGCTGGCCATACTTGTCCCTGATTGGCCGTGCTCCTCACTCTCTGGAAATCACCGCCATGCCCTTGTGTGGATACATCCCTGCGCCCTGCCTTCCTTTTCAGCTCTGCTTTAACTCTGTCATTCCTCATTTGAATGTAAGCTCTTCGAGGGCAAGGACTCTATTTTTATTTCATTATTGTATTATATGTTTATCCCCAGTACACAGTGCCTGGCACACAATTGCTGGTTCCTAGCCTACGTGCACTTAAACCCTTCACGTTGTTGCTGTTTGTTGAGTTGTTTCAATTGCGTCTGACTCCTTATAACCCCATTTGGGGTTTTCTTGGCAAAGATACCGGAGTGGTTTGTCATTTCCTTCTCCAGCTCATTGTACAGATGAGGAAACTGAAGTAACCAGGGTTAAGTGACTTGCCCAGGTTCACACAGTGTCTGAAGACAGATTTGAATTCACATCTTTCTGATTCCAGGCCTAAAGCTCTATCTACTGCGTCACCTAGCTGCCCTAAGCCCTTCATGGTCTGATTCCAGTTTCCCTTTCCAGATTTACTTCACATTACTCTCCTTCATGCCCTCTATATCCTAGTCAAATGGGTCTCCTTATTGTTCTTCAAACTTGCCAGCCTCCATGCCTTTCTGGAATGAAGTTCCTCTTCACCTCTGCCCCTTGGAATCCTTGGCTTCCTGTAATTTTCAGCTCAGCTGCCACTTCCTATGAGAAACTCATTCTGATAGGTCGAGCTGTTAGAATTCTTTGCTGCCTCAAATCTTCTTTTGTTTGTGATCTGTGCACAACTTGTATCCCCAGGAGAATCTAAGCTTCGTGAGGACAGGGACTGTCTGTACCCCCAGTGCCTGGTTCATAGTAGGCATTTAATAAATGTTTGTGGAGTTGAATTGAAAGTGGTGGTGCTGCCCCCCCCCTCCAAGAAGGAACTGTCATGGCCCTAGGGTGTATCTGTTATTCTAGGTCTGCAAGCAATTGAATCAGAGACGCTAGAAATTGGGCTGGGGTGGGCTTGCGCTTTGAAAAAGGAAGAAAGAAATAGTCTTTCTAACCTGTGTGGAAACATACACAGTACATTCTCAGGGGTGAGGGGTCATATCTGATTCAGGGGATTAAAACAGCACAGCTCTTAAAGCCTGTGTGGCCTGGGGTTAGGGTAAGGCAGATACTATTATGGCTCCTTTTTTAATGTCATTTCCACTGATAAGATCGTATGGGTCTCTGATGTCGAATTGTTGACAGTGACAAGGAATTTGGTGGTACTAGCACCCACAGGAACAGTTGCAAGGCTATATTTCTGTGGATGATGGCCACAGATGCTAGGCTGGAAGCTTTTAAAATATAACTCTTAAAAATTTCTGCCATGTCTCTTTTGAATTAATAATAATAATAATACATATTTATGTAGGCTTTTAAGGGCATGTGATAGGGGATAGAGGGCTGGATTTGGAGTTAGAAACTCGGTACTGACTCTGCCATATGCTTGCCATGGGCAAGTCATCTCATTTTGGGGGGCCCTCAGTTTCTTTATCTGGAAAAAGAAGGGATTGACTAGATGGTTTTTAACTATTAAAAACCTTCTAATTATTAGGTGACACAGTAGATAGGGTGCCAGACCTGGAGTCAGGAAGACTCATTTTCATGAGTATAAATGTGGCCTCAGACATTTACTAGCTGTGTAACCCTAGGCAAGTCACTTAACCCTGTTTGCCTCAGTTTCCTTATCTGTAAAATGAGCTAGAGAAGAAAGTAGCAAACCACTCTAGTATTTTGCCAAGAAACCCCAAATGGGGTCATGAAGAGTTGGACATGACTGAACAAAACTATTAGTCTATTTTCTAGGATCTTTGAACGTTGGAAGGTAGGTAGTACAAGTATTATCCCCATTTTACAGGTGAAGAAACTGAGGTTTAGGGAAAATAAGAGACTTGTCTAAGGTTATGTAGCCAGAACATGCTAGACCTTGAACCCAGGTCTTCTGACCCTGAATTCAGCAACCATTATGTTATAGTACATTGACTCTCATTATTAAGGGAAGGAAGTTTCACCAACACTTTACCAGAAAAGTCAGGGAGATAATTCAAGTTTCCTCAGGCCAATATATGCTGGTGGTAGCAAGAATGAAGGAGGGGCAGCTAGGTGGCACAGTGGATAGAGCATTGGCCCTGGATTCAGGAGGACCTGAGTTCAAATCTGGTCTCAGACACATAACATTTACTAGCTGTGTGACCCTGGGCAAGTCACTTAACCCCCATTTCCCCCTCCCCCCCAAAAAATGAAGGAACCATCTGGGGAGGTAGCCTTGGGAGTCAGCGGCAGAAACAGTTATCAGTCATAAAAGGACACTTTTCCTTACAAGTTAAATGACTTGTCTATAGTCACATAACTAGGAATAGCAGAAATAACTGGGAAAAAGCTGTCTTTTCATCCCTCCCATGCATATGATAGGTTCTTAAGAAATATTTGTTGATGAAATGTAATGCATTACAGTGCCAAAACATGCCAAGAGTCAGGAATAACCTGGGTTCTGCTTCTGCTTCTTCCATTGACTAGCTGTGTGACCCTGAGTTAATCTTTTTATCTATCTGTAAAATAGAATTATGTAAGTATGTGGATGTATATGTATACATATGTATATATGTATGTGAGTGTATGTGTATATATTATATATGTATGTATGTATATGTATGTATGTATGTATGTGTATATGTATGTATGTATGTATGTATGTATATATGATAACCCCTAAGGTTAACCTCAGACTCTAAAATTCTATGATTTGATGGTTAATTATTGGGTTTTACACAGGTAGCTCCTTCAGTGCTCCTCAAATCACAATTCCTAGGTGGCCACCTCTCTGCTTAGGCATAAGACTAGTCAGAGCCATAGCTAGTCATTCTGGTGCCCAGGCCCAATGCCATGAAATCTCTCCAGGGAAGGGAAGAGAAGGGAAGGGAAAGGAAATAAGCATTTATTAAGTGCCTATACAGATATTATTTAATCTAGACTATTCATTTGGTGGTCAGGGAGAGATACTTCAGGGAGAATGCTTGAACCTTTAGACACAAGATCCCATAGGGGAAGAGACCCTGATGTTGGAGAAACTGCCGATAGGGAGATAGCAGGGCAGGCAGAATTGGACTGGGCTGGGTAGTTCACTTGGGATGGTCCAGTCAACTGCCTACTTCCCATTTTAACTAATTCTTGCTGACTAGGTGCTTGGCTCAGTTGTTTCCACCTGCTGAAACAATACAAGGGCTACTGACATCCTCTTGATTTCAGTGACCTGTGGCTAAGCCCTCTGGTCCCACTGTAGCAGGTAAGGATCAGGGGTAAGGATCCCTTTTCTCTGAGTACTGCCCTTGGGAGGATCACAGATTTAGAGCTAGAGGTGAAGTGATTTGCCTAAGATCTCATCAACTAAGTGGCAGAAGTAGGTTTTTCTAATTCCAATCCAGAGCTCTTTCAGGAGCTTTTCTGCTCCTTGCCCACATGTCTCTGAACTCATCTGCTGCCTACCTGGGACTGGGCAGCTGATAGGACAGTGGTTCTTAAACTTTTTTTGTAGTTGTTCATGGCATGGCATTATTTTTTGTTGGAGGTTATTCATGCACAATTCCATACAATTTATGGCCCACCCAGTAGATTGCATAGCATATTGGTGTACCATGGCACACCCTTTGAGAACTAATGGGACAGGAGCTATGATGGGAGCTATAAAATATACTTTCATTTCTTCCAAGAAGTAGCCAAAGGTCTAGTTAGACTTCTCATGGTGTGCAATACCAGGGGGCTCAGGAGGTTGTCAAGGTACGTGACCTTGAGTTTACCCAAGTTAGGTTCTTTGAGGCTTGGGTGTCATGATGCTACACTGTAAAATAGCTTTATCGAGTTGCACAGCTTTCCCATCCCAAGGAGGAGGTTTCCTAATGATCCTCCCTAGATATCCTGTCCTAATGACTGCATGACAAATTATCCTACTAGCCACAGGCCTAAGTAAAACTTACTGCCCGTAAAATACTGTAGATTATTGTGGAAGAAAAGTACATAGCTCATTAACTCAAATTTCTGCCCTCCCTTCCTCCCTCTCTTCTTCCACAGCCTTCAGCCCTCCTCCTTCTCCCCCATCTCTTAATTGCCTGGGGGACATTTGCAAGGGCTCCATTTGTCTGTGGAAAAAGGAAATCAGGATTTCAGTCCCAGTGGGAAGGATGGAGGAGTACAGGTTGGGTCAGAGACAGGATGGGGAGCCTAGAGATGCTCTATCCCTCCCCTTACCCCAAGGGCTGCTTAGGGTGGGGAAGAGTTAGTGGTATCAGGAGTCATTTGCTCCATTTGTCTGTAAATGAATGGGCTAAGGTATCTGTAACTGGAAGTCTAGACCCCAAGGGCTTTTCCAAAGAACCATTTAACCTTTATGAACCTAGGCCCTTTCCAACCACCCTTTGCCCTTCTTTAACCTGAAGTAAGAGAGTGAGGAAGAGTCAGTTTTGCTGAAGCAGGGGAGAATTATGAAGTTCTGGGCTGGCTAAGGTCTCTTCAACATTTCTATAGGATTGATGACCTCTGTAGTGGGTCATCAATCTTTTGACTTGAATTTTTTAAATTTTTAAAATTTATTGAATTCAAATACTTTATTTAATTTCTGTGGCTCAGGAGAGTGGTGCAATTCACTTCCTAAGGATCCTGGGAGTGAGAGAAGATATATACTATAGTGCCCCAGGTCAAACCCTGCCAGGGGACAGAAGGCTGGATCCAGTGAACTATCAAGGTCTCTTCTAGACCTCAGGACCTCTGAGTTCCGTAGAAATGGAATGTCTAAGTGCCTGAACTTTCTTTGACCTCACAGATTGAGTTCTGGTTTCATTGGCCTGGCTTTGTTGACATCTTCCTAGAGAGAACGCGGGAGGAAGAAGCTCCAGGGGAGCCTTGTTTAAAGACTGAAGGAAGGGGAACTAGCTGCCTTCAAAAACACTGTTCCTTTCCCCCATTCAAGATCCAACCTGTAGCTAATGATATGGAATGTCCAGGAGATGCTGGCTGCTTCAGGGGTCATGAAGAATTCATTAGGCCATTCTCTCTATCCTCCCTTGACCTTTGAGTGAAGACAATAGCTAAGCAAGAGCTTTTGTCTCTGCTCCCCTGTCTGAGGCAGTGTCAAATGTTGGACACTTGTGAGTTGTATTCCCCAGCTCTCGGGAAAGGGGCAGCCCCGTAACTCGAGGAGAGACACTTACTTCAAAGCTAATTAGTTGGAAATTAAATTTTCCATTTGGCCAGGCCCGGGACAATGGTTGGGGAGTGGAAAGGGAGAGAAATATGAGGGGGAAAATAGGAGGAGGTGGGGTAGGGATCCTAAGACACAGGAGACCTGTGGAAAAAAGGAGAGTGTCAGCTCAGTTAATCTTTGATACTTTTGCTGGCACTTGGTGAGAGGAAAATAGCATCTTTTATTTTCTCCCTCTTTTACCCCTTCCTTCCTCTTCTATCACTTGGTTTAGTGTCAATAACCCAGAAAACATTTCAAGGACCAAAAGGTTGGTGATGGTGTTTTCTGGGCAGATCCCATGGAAGGTCTTGGGTTAGCCATGTGACCAATAAGGCTTGCTTTATCAACAGGAAGTCATTTGTGTGGTGTGATTTCAGGAGCCATTGAGCTAGACTCCCTGACAAAAAGATTTCTACCAAATAGTCATGTATGGAAATTCTACCATTAGATATTCATTCCTCTGGGTCTTTATGGTATTTCAGTATTCTAAATTTGCTAAGGAAAATGCAAATATTTTGAGAGAGGGCTAAATTTTAACCCTTTAACAGGTAGTGTTAACTGACAGATCACCAAAAGCCAAGACTTTGTAGGAATGAGGGTTGGGGAGGATGGGCTTCTGAAAATTGGAGAGAATGGGAGTGAATGATGAGTTGAGTCATTTCAGTCATGTCTGACTCTTTGTGATGCCATATGGAGTTTTCTTGGCAAAGCTACTGGAGTGGTTTGCCATTTCCTTCTCCACCTCATTTTACAAATGAAGAAACTGAGGCAAACAGGGTTAAGTAACTTGCCCGGGAACAGGGAGCTGAAAGGAGAAGGTGTGAGGTGCCAAAGACAAATGCCACTGACTTGGAAATTTTACTGGTGCTCTGCCATGGTATGATCATGATCAAATCCTAGAAATCCAGCATCAGGGGCAAATCAATTAGGGGAGGGTGATAGGTACACTAAGCCTCCCCAGTCACTATTGCCACTAATTCTAGAAGACCAGGGTGTGCTCCCAGAAACCAGCAGTGTGATTCAAAATCCATTCCACGAGGGGGCACTCATGCTGCCATGTTGATGGTGAGAAAACTGAGTCCTGAGAAAGGAGTATGATAATAATGGTGCCCTCAGGGATGGCAGTGAGGCATCAAGGTGTGGGTGGGGTGGCTGTCCCAAATGTTACTGGACTAGTAGTGGATTTTAAGAAATAGGAGACCGCCACAGGGAGGAAGGGGACCCTTGGATGTCAGTGCCATGGGGCAATGTCCTGATCACCCTGAACTAGTTATAGCTTGGGCAAAACACAACTTCTTTGGGTCTCCATTTTCTCATCTGTAAAATGGGAAAAGATAATATTTACTTCTTTCATAGGTTTGTTGGGGGAGAGGAGGAAGCAACTCAACTAAATTCTTCAAGATTTACTGAGTTTATTATGTGAAAGGTGTACACAAGACATCGTGAACAAACTTGCCTTCTCAGAGCTTACAGTCTACTTGGACAGGGGAGATAAGACATGTATATAGGTAAATACAATGGCTTGTAAAGAGTGAAGGAAAGAAGGATTCTGAAAGTCAACCAACTGAGCTAATGTATATGAAAGATCTTTGTAATTACTAAGTACTATATAAATGTACGCAGGAAAGGATCTGTGATTTTGTTATTATGTGGGACTCCTGGCATGGAAGCAGATTGTAACCCATCCATGTATAACTTAGCAGGTAAAACCTAGTGAACGTTATGGATGGAGTATGGGTTGAGTGAGCTGGCATTCTCTGAAGGAGCATTACTCACCCTTAGGTGTGACCTCACTCTTTCTCCATTGTCTAGGTATACTTATGCTAGGGAGAAAGCTGAGACACTGAGAGTTTAAGTAATTTGTCCAATGTCATGCAGCTAGAAAGTGTGTGTGTGTGTGTGTGTGTGTGTGTGTGTGTGTGTGTGTGTGTGTGTGTTGGGAGTGGGGGTGGAAATTAGAACCAAGGTCTTGGTTCTCAGGTACTGCAGTCAGCTCACTAAGATAGACAGCCTGACAATGTAAACACATTATATTGTTATGAGTTACTATTATTATTTCATGATAACAATGATTACTAGTTATAATTATTTGATGATAATAATTATTATTGTTTACACTGACTTGGAGCCAGAGAATATTCCCACTCTCTTTACACTCGTGCGGCAACTGGGTCCTCCAACCCTGATTTTTGAGGAAGAAACAACTTTTCTTGATCACAGAAGACCTGTCTGACTCAATCTTATTAAAAATCAAACCAAATCAAGGAACAAGATCAACCCTGTCCTCATCCTGAGAGGCTTTAACTGCTGGTGATGTCCACAGGACCAGCAGGTGCCTGGTAAGCATTTTGAGTGAGCAGTGGGCCTATTGACTATTCTAATAGGAGCCTGACTGTTTGCAGCAGCTTCTCCTTCCTCTTCCTCTTCCTCCTCCTCCTCTTCCTTTGAATGGAGCTGCTTGGACACCTGAGGGTGCTAAAGCATATTAGATTTTGTGAAGCTTGCCTTGCACCACCCTGCAAAGGCCTGCAGAGGGCAGAAGAGAGCAGGCCAGCCCCATCCCCAGCAGCGACTGTCAGGAGTCAGCAGGGCAGAGAGCAGCTGTGTTCCAGGCTCCAAGCACAGTTCTCTGTTAGAAGGGTAATTTAGAGCAATTACACCGATTATTATTGCTTTTCTAATTAGTGCTTTTCCTACAGAATTAGCTGAGTGTTTATTAGGAGCTGCTTGTTGCCAATGGCTTAACTGCTTCACCACCAGGCCTGGTGTGAGGTTGGTGTTGGTACTGGGGTGTGTGTGTGTGTGTGTGTGTGTGTGTGTGTGTGTGTGTGTGTGTGTGTGTGTGTGTGTGTGTGTGTGTGTGTGTGTGTGTACGTGCTCGTGCAGGAGTGTGCATCTGTTTGGTTATGTGGTTTCGCATAAAAGCATGGATTAAATATTCATTTTGCTTTGTTACATACAGCATTAAACTTTTATCAGCTGTATGTTTTCCTTGAAGTTTTTCTTGTGTGCTAAGATTCTGGGTGGGCTTGAAATAAAACCTTCAGCCTTGGCTTGGGTGGGGTGAAGGTTTAGGGGTGTGGGAAGGATGCTCCCTCAAGGAAAAACCCACCAAAGGTGTAGGTGCTAACAGCCCTCTGCAAGGTCCAGGCCTGTCATACTTTTCAAAATATTTTTACCTCCGTTGTTATGTTTCACACCTCCTGTGAAGTAGGATCATAGGTCTAGAATCGACTGGAAGGACACTCAGAGGCCAAACTCCATCATTTTATGGAGGAAGAAACTGAGGTCCATTCTTCCCATTTGATGGATGAGGAAACTGAGACGTGGAGACTTAATATGGTTTCCCTGATGCGGATTCCTCAGAACAAAGCCTAGAAATAGACAAATTTGAAAAGTTTCCAAAGTTTGTCTTCTCCATTGTGTGTCTCCTTTTGGAGACCATGCTACTCAGTGCCCTCATACTGCAGAAAGGACCAGAGAGATGATACGGTCCATCGGTACTCCCATTCATATACCGTTCCATCTAGCTAAACTGGCCTTGATATTCCTTACGTGAGAGGACCTGCATGGTCTTCGAATTCATTCCCTCCTCATTCATGAATCTTTGAAGGCTTGGTTCATTTGAAGCATTTATTGAGCCTCCAAGTACTTGGTGCCTCCCTCCTCTCCCCCATGGTCTTACATTATCTATTATATATGTATATATACATAGCAAAGTAAATACTTATCTGTACCTGTCTCCCTCTACAGACCTTACCCTCCTTGAGGGCAGGGACTATTTTATTTATGCCTTTATATCTCTAGCATTTAACACAGTGCTTAACACAAAACGGGTACTTAATAAATGCTTTAGGATAGATTTATGTTTCTTGAATTTAACAGATAAAAAAAGAGACCTGTGGAAGGGAAATAACTTGGCCAAGGTCACACTTTATGTCAGTACATAGCAGAAATTGAGTTTAAACCCATGTCCTTGGACTCCAGATTCAGAGTCACCACCAAGTCTGCTCTAATAACCTGCTAGGAGATTCCTATGTGGTGATCCCAAGCAGAACTGTTCACCCTTAGTAGTACATACTGTGGACCTTTCAGAAACTCTATCTACCCCTTACCCTCTCATCAAAACTAACCACTGTAGTGTCTTCTCTCTTCCTGACCTTTCTGATTGAATGATTGATGTTAATTGGTTAAATGGAACTGGGATGCTAGTTGCTGGTGGCTACAATGTTGTGGTGGTGGTGGTGGCGGGCACAGCGCCAGTTCTCCAGTCAATGGCATTAGAAAAGGAAACCTCTCAGCCCCTCAGGGCTACCCCTAGAACCCTGAAGAAGTGATGTAGCTGTCCTCTTAGAAAGAATGAGGCCAGAGAGAGTATTTGCTGCTTCTATAAAATGAGGGTTGGTCAGATGTTAGGGTCCCTTCCAGCTCAAAATCTGTGATCTTAGGATCCTTATGTATGCTTGTCTTCTGTACTCTGGCTGCAAAATGCGATTTCATCTTTCTGCAGTGATTCCCCCCTTTTATATACACTATGCTCTAGCCAAAATGGACTTTGCTGTTCTCAGATCTCATTTCCCGTCTCTCATCTTTATGCCTTGTGCCCATCATGACCAATGCCTGGAATGGTTCCCCCCTTCTTCCCATTTCTTCACACTGAAATATAGAAATCCTTCTTCAAGATTTATCTCAGATGTCATACCTTCATAATGCCTCCCGTCACTCCCAGCTATGAGAGCCTTCCTCTTTTCTTAAATCTCTTAGGCTACGCTGCTTAACAGGGGCAACTAGGTGGCACAGAGCACTGGGCCTAGAGTTAGGAAGATCTGAGTTCAAATCCAGCCTCAGACACATATTAGCTGTGTGACCCTGGCAAAGTCACTTAACCCTCTTTGCCTCAGTTTCCTCATCTGTACAATGAGCTGGAGGGGGAAATGGCAATCCAGTATCTTTGCCCAGAAAACCCCAAATGGGGTCACAGATATTTGGACATGACTGAAATGATTGAACAACAACACACTGCAGAATTGCAATAGCTCAAAAGAAATGTGAGATGCACAAATTTAGAGACATCTCTGCTCCAAACATTCATAGGGACTATTTGTGCTCAACTTGCGGTAGAACCTTCTGAGCTATCACTGTACTGATCAGCCACAGTCAGGCACACTTTGACTCCAGTGTAACGATGTCATTTGGGCCCTCTTTAAGAACAAAGAGCAACCACCAACCAACAATATCGCCTCTGCACCTAATAATTCAAAATTTGCTTTATTGTTATTTGTGTGCAGATCTCATTTCCCTACTAGACTGTAAGCTCCATAAGGGCAAACGCAGTATCTTATATGTTTGCAATTCCCTAGGCTGAGCATAGCACCTTGCACAGAACCAATGTTGAGTAAATGTTTGGTGAATTATGCCCTCACTCTTATGCTTCCCTTTCCCTTCTTCCTGTTTCATCTAAATCCCAGTTGACGCGAATGTATTCCTACACCAAACGCTTTGTGTGTCTCTCTGTGTGTGTCTGTGTGTTCCCCTCTTTTGACTAGTTTAGATGAAAACGAAGGTCGAATGATGCCTGCTCCTCCCAATCCATCCATATAGTTCCTCACGGGTACCTCAATTCTGAATTGTGCTAGGACATAGGAATGACTCTGGAGGCAGAGCTGTCAGGCATTGGGACAGCCAGGCAGGATGAATGTTTGGGGAGGGGGCTTCTCATCACACCTTCTAGCTGGCTACTTCTTCTGCCTTCGCTGTCTACCTCAGGGGTGGGACTGTATGCAGAGAAGAATTGACTTTTCTCTCATAGGTCTGGGTGGGATCTATTTAGGAGAAATCGATGTACAAAGAACCAATAAAATGCCGGTGTTATTGATGATCAGTATAAACCTAGGATGCTTCATTTTACAAAAGCTTCTTTTGAAAGCAGTTCCCCTGGTACACTGAAGGGTTTGTTTACAGATCATTAACTACTTGACAGAGAGGCTGAGCGTGGGGGATGGGGTGGGAGGGAAAGTAGAGAAATAGAGAACGAAAATCAATCAGAAGTGAAGATTAAGCAGCTCTGAAATGACCATATAAGTCAGTGGGGAAATAGGATATGATACATAAAAATAATGCTTGATTTGTTAAAATTTGATTTCCCCAAAACGTCTAGGGAGCATTGCTAAATAAAGCCAGGTCCACCCATGTTGAGATCCTTCTGTCTCTAGCGGATGGATACGGGACCTAACAGGAGACATGGCTGCAGTCAGCTCTTGGTGGTTCAGAGACTTCCTTTCCAGTTTGTGGTTTTTGAAGATGCCTGATTTCTTTGTTGTTGTTCAGCTGTGTCGGACTCTTTGTGACCCCATTTAGGGTTTCCTTAGCAAAGATACTGGAATGATTTGCCATTTCCCACTCTAGCTCATTTTACAGATGAGGAAACTGAGGCAAATAAGGTTAAGTGACTTGCCCAAGGTCACACAGCTAGTAAGAGTCTGAGGTCAGATCTGAACTCAGGTCTTCCTGATTCCAGGCCTGGTGCTCTACCTACTCTGCCCATCTGGCTACCCTCACTGGCTTCTACTTTAAACCAATTTCTTGTTGGCTCCACCAGAGAAGAAGGGCATAGAGTATAGGAGAAAATCCCATTGGTTCGTCTCACTGTGTGGACTCATACCTACCCTGTTAAATCTAGAAGGGCCCACTTAGCCTAATCTACTCATTTTACAGACATTGAAAAACAGAGAGGGCAATGGCTTGCCGAGATCACAGAGCTTGTTTGTGATGCAGCTGCTATTGGAAGCCATATCTCTGCCTTCCCATTTATTGCTTTTTCTTTTCTAATACCCCCAGATCCCTGCTGCATAAAGGGCTAATGAGAAAGGAGAAAAAGGAGCCTCATTGGAGATTCTGAGGTTTAAGAATGTCCGAGAATTTTCTTGGGGGAGGGGAATGTATTCTTCCTGTCCCCCAACACCATGGATGCTGAATAGAAGCCCTTAACTATTATGGAACAGGAGTGATAGATGATAATAATACTAATAGCTAACTTTTTTATAGTGCCTACTCTGTGCCAGGCACTGTGCTAAGCGCTTTACAATTATTATCTCATTTGATCCTCATAACAACCTTGGGAGGTAGGTACTATTATTACCACCCATTTTATAGCTGAGAAAATGGAGGCACATAGAGGTTAAGTGACTTGCCAAGGG